TAGCGTAAAGCAAGTCGCATGGACTACAGCCTGGAGGGCGAAACTGACAGACGGCACCCACTATTTTAGTCAATGAATTCATTTCCCGCTACCAATTTACTGTTGCCCACCACGATCCTTGTGCCACCCTACATCCGGTAAAAACTAGGCCCTCCTAGATAAATGGTGAGCGGGCATAACTAATACGTGCCCAAGCCAATACAATTTATTCAGTGCTATCTGTTGTTCTAAGGAAGTAGCCTGCTTATCAACACCTAACACTCACCTACGCACATCATCGTTGCGGACAAGCTGGTGCCTCCCGACATCATCAATGCTTCCGGGGAGCGATGATCGAAGACTCGAAGGTGCCTCCGATACTCAAATCGAGTTGGCGAATTCTCACTCGCATAGAGTAGGATGACCCTCGCTGTGGCCTTGTAAACACGTCCTTTCAGACCGAGGGCAACCTCTTCTGAGCTGACAGATGTAGCAGGTTCACGAACGCTGCTCTAGCTTTTACAATAAATGGAATGATTTCGCTGATGATGCAGCTGCTAAAAGTAGGGAATCGATCAACTAGCTCGAGTTCCGCGATATCAATCGTCTGGTGTCCGCGCAACAACAGTTTTTACTCTGAAGGTACGAAGCACATGCCAAACGATGGGGACACACACTATAAATAAATAAATAAACAAATAACTAGTTTATTCTCGACTATGCGAGGCACGCCCATTGAGGCATGATCAGGGATGACTGCGCAGCCTCAACATCATTGAACAGCAAGACAATATCGTCCGCATAACCAAGCCCCATGGTGTAGTGGTTATGACTCAAGACTTTGAATCCAGTGACCCGAGTGAGAAGCTGTTAGATCAAGTAGATGAGGACGCGAATTCTGCCCGTACGTTTGGCGCACTGCATCAGTGGATCAGTGACTTTCTTATTAGAAGAAGGTGGGTTCAGGTGGATGAGCACCTAACAGAATGGTACCGCTTTATTAGCAGTTTATTCCAAGGCGCAGTGCTGTGGCCCATTTTGTTCCTGATCTACATCAAAGAAGTACTTTAGCTTCGTTTTTCGCCTTGCGCATTATTTGCAGACGACCCGCAGATTTGTAGGATTATTGAATCTCCCGGTGACTGTAACGTTCGTCGGCAGGACCTCGACCACCTATCCCGGCGGTCTGCAGAAGCTGAGCTACCGGTCAACCCGGCCAAGTCCTCGATTATGAGCCTGAGGCGTGGTAGTAATAGGCGTGCGTACACCCTGGTTGGCCGCTCGCTGCGTCCCACCGGTTTTGTAAAGGATCTTGGTGTACTCTCACGCTGTGAGCTGGTCTACGGACAACACGAACAGACTGTACGCAAACTGGTTTGTTGACTGAGCGCAATTTCTAACTGCTGCACCAACCGATGCAGGTGTTCTGATTACTCTTGCAGTGATTTACCATATGTCAAGACGATGGGCACGCATTTGTGTGTGCGCTAATTTAGATTTAACTCGATGTGATTGTGAATTGAGTTGAATATTCTTATAGATGTACATGATTTGCCTAAGGAGGAGCTTGATTCGGTTATGGATTCAACTGACTCGGAAATGTTATAGTGAGTGTAAGATCACAGGTTTAATCCCGTAGGATTTCGGGGATGTGTGCGACTAACTAGTCCCAATAGGACGAAACAGCCGTCTTGCTCTTGCTTGGGTGTGTGGTAACGATATGGCTTGGTGTATCTTAGACGAATTTTCACCAATAGGTATTTGCGTTTTCATGTCCCCCGCAACAATAACGATCTCTGAGCCGGGAATATTGCGTAGCAGCTTGTCCATTTGGTGGTACGTGTCCTTGGTAGAACCAGAACTGCAGTCGGTGGGGGCATAAGCGGAATCACAAACGAACGGTCTCTCTTCCTAATTCGTGAAGCAACCTTGGTCGATGTCGTCGAACGGGTTGCACAATAACGGCTGCTGACTGAAATCCACTCAACCAAATATGACTCAGCCTTGGAGTTGAGAACGATGCCCATCCCTGCTTGATCAGTGGTTATGGCAGAAGTGTCGCAGGATGCATGGAACCAATAGCGAGAGGACAGTCCGGGCGCATCTAATTTAACCGCAATATGAATTTCATTTATCCTTGTTGCGGATACACAACACACGTTACTACCCGGTGTATCCGACGTGTTTGCATATTCAATCTTTTGGCCTATTCTCTTAGAGTGCGAACTTCGAATGCCACCAGGGAAACGTGACAGCGCGGGCTTCTAAGCTAGCTGCCGACAGCCTAGTGATATTGAGGTTGCTGTCAATTGAGCTGGGAATGGTGAATGGCTAGTAATGGGGGTTAGGTGATGAGTAAGAGAAACAGGCGGAAAAATGCAGGGAGGCGCCAGCAGTAGCATGTTCTTGCTTGTTCGCCCTGTTGTATGCAGCAGATAAGATGACCCTTGATAATCTGCGCGACGGCCAACGAAGTATGTGGTTGAACTTTGAGGAGATAGTTATGATTCTACTTTGTCTGAGATACTGTCAGGGCTTCTAGACCTGGACAGGCGCACGATTAGTCGCGAACAGATCTTTGGCTCAAAAGCCTGTAAACAAGGCAGGGGGAAGGTGGAATGCTTTGGTTTTACAGAACTGGACGCCATCCAATTTCCAAACCCCAACCTGAATAACAAGCAGACGGAGTTTGTTTGGCTTCTAACTATTGACAAACCTAGTAGGAGGAGCTCTCAAGAGGCCAGGAGGCACCAGTCGGTGTAGCACAATGGGTCGACGTGGCACGTAAACAATCGCACGACGTTAATATCCAGTCTCGTTACGAGGGATGTGTTGGACAATAAAACGGCCACTGGGCCAACAAAACTTGAGGCCAAGTAGCAAAGCAAGACATCGAATTAGATGCCATTGTATAGGGATGGTACCGTCGCAACAAATAATATAGGCGGTAATTTCTGCTTCTGGCACACACAGTTACAGTAAGGGGATCCCGTTGTTTCGGCGTCAGCCCTGTCCTCTGCAAATTTTGGAAGTTGCACGGCAATAGACGGTGAGCAGAGCTATATCGTAGACATCTGCCAGTTAAGACGGTCGGTATCCATCAACCATCAACTGGTGGCACAAACCGCTGGCGTCGAGAGACCGTGGATTTTGTTCCTAGTAGGGACAGAAGACGCACGGATGGCGAGTCCAAATAGGAAGGAACGATCGTCTACCGCTTTCTCGTATGCTCCTGAAGATGCCTGAGAGAGTTGACCGAGATGAATCAAGTTCGTTTTGTGAATGGGTCGGGAGAACAGACTTAATAAAAGCTCAGACTAGTTGACTTCGCATTCTTGAGGAGCAAATCAAGGAAATTAAGCTAATAGCTTATTCTGTGATTCCACTCACTCAATGGCTAATTTGTGTAATCTTAAACATATTGTCGGGTAGCACTGTCATGAGATCGACTGAAAACTCAAAGAGTCTCGTTCAGGGTAAAGAAACTTGTACTGCCAATCAAAGTTGTTCATACAGCGTAGTTTCTGTCAGAAAAAGGTGTCAACGTGGAATGTAGTGATTCGCGAAACCAAGAAATAGACGTATCTATGGCAGTGTGTTTTTTTCATTCTAACCAACTTAACCTGTGCGGGTAAAATCACTAGCTTAAGAAGGATCTAAGGCAAGTGATTTTGTGCCAGATGGTGATAAAATGTGCTCAAGTCTGGAAGCTGCCCGACATTGAAAGGGTAATCGCATTTCTGGTTGCCTAATGACATCCGATGACCACCATCGACCCACACACCCTTACTTTCATGTACTCCAGCAATGCTTCGCTTTTGGTTGGCGAGAATTACCGATCGGTTGGGTAAACTCTCTAAGGGAAGATAGCGTTCAGCATTTTACGCCGGGTCTCCTTACAAATGGCTGCTAGTAGTGAGTAGCAATAATACAGACCCAAAATATGAGGTATTTAGCTAACTCAGCTTGATGAGCGGAAGTGTTCCAAAGGATTTTAATACGTGTCAAAATTAACACATGATTTAAGTTTACCACTAGCTGGCGCAGTGGACCAATAGAATGCAAAAACTGTGTACTTGATGGTGACTACCAGCCCTATGCTTAGTTTGATATTATGTCGGAAGCAAAACAGACATCACTTAATCCGACAACAGTTTGATGCACTGTTTCGTAGGAACATGACAGGAGTGCGTCAGGTATCAATCGTAATGACAGAAACAGCTTTATTTAAATCTGAATGTAAAGTTTAGGTAGTTGAGGATATCAAACGAATAACCAGGGGTTAAGTAGCGGCCTTCCGTCGGCGTGTGATGCTCAGCTTTGTGAGACACGATTTTGATTTCGTTTCCCCATCATGGTACCGGTTGTAATGCCTTCTATCATCTGTAAGCCAGCAAACTATCAGTATATAATTTAGCATCGCAGTTTACTGGTGCTCAAAGTGTGTTTACTGAGAAGTTTTTAGGTGTGTTAACCAACATACATGTCCGAAAACAACGCAGATATGTGGTCACATTAACCAAGCAGTCGGTATTCCGCGGACATGGGTCAACAGTGGCCGGCATTCTCGCACGTCTTCCCTGCTTCACTGCTGCTGTATTGCCAGTCTTGCATAGGGAAAGTCCACCGAGAAGCAACCACAATCAGGCAGTATCCTCAATCAGCAACTAAACTCATGGGCTGGCTAAGGTACGGTCATCACCGTTACGGAAATGCGTTGATACGCTGCAGGTTAATTACACAGAGCCGGCGTATATTTTTGCATGGCTGAATCTTTACTCGCCCAGAATGACTTGATTCTTGACTTGAGAAAAAACTGATTCCTTGTCATCAGTTTCCAATCCATAGTTATGTGTCCAGTTGCTACGCCAGGGACGTCGAATCCACATCACTAAAGACACATAAACTCATCTCAAATACAAATGCTTAAATTGCAGCTGGGACTTAAACAAACCGCGACAGAACAAGCTAAGTAAAATATTTACAGTTCAGAGGAACATGTTAACCTAATTGCTCACTACCTGAATCTCGGCACTGGTGAACGCACGTCTCGTAGGTGACCGGTACACTTCAATTACGGCTGTGAAAGAAAGAAACACTTAATGGATCATATGTAAATAACGAAGCATAAATTAAGGAGTTCTATTGTTATTCGGAAGTCTGCCTGATCTCTGAAGCCTTGCTGTTTCAAATATGAGCACACAGAGTAGATGATTTCAGTTGCACACAAAACGTTAGTTGCAAAACTTACCGCACTGTTAACAAATAGCTTACCGACTATGTCTTCAGTGGCATTCAAGAGCGGTTGAGCTAGCACATGCTTTGCTTCCGTTAGAGGAGCAATAGAAAATGCGGCCACACGGACACCCTGGAAATGACAAACAAAAAGACGCTGTTCTAGTAGTGGAACCGAGAAGAAATGGATACAATTCCTGCTACACACATGAACTAAATGACACCCATCCGCTGCAGATTTATTCGTCAACACCAACCATGGTCGCCTTGAGTGACATAATGGAAAACACGGACGCACTACCCTCCAAACAAGGTGCGGTGCGCCTGCTAGGCCCGAGATAAACCAGACTGCGAACTACAGTTAAGAGTAGACAAAATTTAACGTTTATCTGCTTTGAACAACTGACTTTCCGGAGTTTCCTTGAGCTTGTGTTTCCGGCTATATTTTTCTGATGAAGTCTCTTACAAGAATCGTAATACGGAATACTTCACTGTACTAAAGGCGCGTCATCCAGCAATAGATTGAATAAAGGAAACTGGATAAGCTACCTTAGGTAGGTCAGCGCTGTTCATCAGTTGCTTCCTCTCGGCCGCAAGACATGCTAGCAGTTGCCTTGATTCGATAGGATACAACTTGGGGTTGGTCATAGTTCCACCTCTAGAGAAATGAAGCACAGTTCGTTACACATAGACCGTCGAACTTACAGTGGCTGTTTTGCTGGTTTCGGGTATATGACATTTCCGTAAGGGTCCTTTAAGTACAACGTGAACCCGTCGATGGAGATATCTCGGTAACAGGCAAAAGAGATGAAGATCAACACTTTCATACAAATAAACAGCAAGTCAGCTACTAATATGCATTGCTTGAATATTTACCGGATACGAAACGTTTCCTAAACCGATTAGTAACAACGAAGAATTACATAAAAGCAAACCACTAAGCTTTTTAGTAAAACCCCGGATTTCTGCGTACTTATTCATGCAACATGAAATTTCCGCACTTTTGACCTATGTCTAGTAATATACTGCTATTATGTACAGACTAAGGTTAACAGTAGGATCAAAGCAGACGTTAAAGATCTAGATGATAGTAAAAATCGGTGCGATCTAGTGCTAGTGCTAGTCATGAATTAACGTTAACTTACTTTCACAGATGGAATCAATCAATTGGGAAAGTATAAAATCTCTGTTCGTCCTTCGGTACTTGGCTGGTTGTGTTAGCTGGGGTGAGGGGCCCAACGAAGCGCTGGCAACGGCATGAACTATGTGTGAGCCTTGTCCTGAGGTGACTCGCGTGCCGGTAACCTTGACTTGACCTGCAAGAAGTGAACCCTTCGTAACAAATGTAGTGACCGCACACTCTGGACAACACAACAAGTGTACTTTCTATTTAATGTGGTGAAAGGTACCTCTAGAGTGGCTGCGCATGTTTTAATGTGAACAGGGTGGTACAACAGAGCTGCTGCGTAACTTGGATTTTATGAAAAATAAACTGGCACCTGCACCTCTATGCAAGCATATGAAAATCGAATATAGTACTGAGGAAGGTCCAAGGACTAATTCTTAAGAAGTTAGGTTGCATTGCTTATCAGCTCCATACAGAAAAAGTCTGTTTTCTGTCAGCTAATGAGGGAGGCTTGTAAGCCTGGTGTTATCTGCGACTAACCAAATGACACAATTGCGGAACTGGTCGGGCAGTTTAGACTAGCATGTTCATGGTGATGAAGTGAGTTAAAGGTGAATTCGGACATTAGTGACTACAAGTGATGACCGAAGATCGTGAAGTCAAAGGATACACGATGCACAATAGAAGTACGCCAGAAAAATAGAAAGGAAGGGATAGAATAGATAAGTAGCTTCCCTATGCAGCAGAGGTAATCAACGGTGTGCCTTTGACGAATGCGAGAAAGTAATCGGCTGGAACTTGTAAGCTAATGCGTCACCAATACCAACACCGAATTCGCGACAATTTCTTGTGCGTAACTTGGACCTGCACTTGCCAAATTACATAGTTTTTCTACAATCCAGCAAGAACTCCCTTGTTGCATATCCCGACATCAGTGCCTTTGGTAGCTTAGATAGATCACATTTTCTAAAGTCGGAATGCATAGGGAATTAGTCTTAATTTCAAATCCCTCAGTATACTATTTTACGACCAAAACACTCCATCCATATCCGGTTGGCTGTGACACTTCCAAATATGATAGGGTCTTAGGAATCTGTCCATCTCCGGGGAACTTTAATGTTACGAACCGCAAACCTCAGTACTGTGAACACACATTCATCGTTTCCATAAAAAGTTGGTGAAAGCGCTCCTCACAATTCCTTTGTGGTTCATTGGCAAGCCCAGGATATGTTGGGGGAGTATATACACAGCACTGTAAGACTGTGTCGACAACTCTAACATGTGGTCAACCCAAAACAAATTGTACGTTGATGCGAGTAACTGAACTGTCGCACATATACCAATATAGTAAAGGAATGCTGTCTATGGAATTGTAATTGCGGTACAATTCCTGTGAATTTGATATAAGAATGCTCCTACAGGACAACTCCAGATGTTTAAGAAGCGACAAACGAGCATCAAGTAAGTTAGTCAGTACCTTGATTTTTTAACACAGGCGTTTTGATGATTCAATCCAACAACATTTTACCACATGACGAACCTATATGTATGGCGCAAAGGAATTTACGTAATTCAGGCCCAGTAGCCTTAGTGGAAGAACGACTATATTGTTTGTGAGCATCCTTGGTGGAGAACAACCAAAACATGCGGAACCTGCATCGTCACCTACACGACACGGATGTAATACGTTACACATATTAAAGTGAGGGTACCGACGACTTTATGGCGGCCTCACACTAACCTACTAGATTCTGGGAAATCCGAATGATGCATACCACCGCCCGCTACAAAGTTGACACGATACAAGTATGTAAGAAAGGCATCAAAAGCTGACGCAGTCGAATGTAATGCGTGATACTCCCCGCAAATTCATCCACGCGCTTGCCAGTAATAGGACACTCTGCCAGAAGCATCCATCACTACTGCGGCCTTTGCTCTTTTCATGAGGCGACTAGATGTGGCATCACGCAGGACCACTGTTCAGTGTAATTTACCTAACACAGCGTCCCACCATAAACGGTCCTAGCTTTATTTACCTCGTCTCGCATGCGCAACAACCGAAGCATTTAAAACCTTGAGTAAAGATGAAAATTGCTGTCCACGAAATCGCATTGGATGCGTTTAAGTCAACCTTTACGTGAATATTATCGTACGTCCACAGCTACATAAGTGGCGTTGATAAGAGGCGGATTTGTGGTACTGCCTGCCCACAGACAGCTAAGCCCAAAGCACTACAATTTGCCGTTAGTTGTGGAGGCGGTATTGAGAAGGTACGAAATGGAATTGAATGCAATGACTGTTTTAAAATTCCATCATAAGTGCTGTCTCTTTAACCTAAGCGATGTAACAAAACGAAATAACACGACCGATTCTGTTTGGTTGTGCAAAGAGTGTACGACTATTCCACTCCTCTGATGCATAGTACTGCTGGGGAAAAAGTACGACAGACTGGCAGAGATTGTAGTGCGAACAAATGCAAAAAGAGTTGTCTAATTGGACCTAGACGAAGCTGAGTCTTGAGCTGGATGCACAACATCAAACTCTAATTCGGTATAGAACAGCCAAGCCGGGCTTCAGAACAATGGTCAAGAGTTAGACACCCGGAATACGTCGACTTCTGCCACGGTACGAGGGCACACTTCTAATGACGATTATGTAAAGCTTGCGGTACATTCAATACTGCTTATGGGGCCGTGTACTGTCTGTCGGTAAATATAAAAATTTATTTATTTATTTAATATATGTGTCCATTGATGCCACCCATATGCCACAGGCTCAGTTCACCATAGCCACCTTCATAGTCAAACTAGGAGCAGTTGTGACCACCAATACAATCAAGGGACTTAGTGTGCCACCAGTTCTCAGACCAAAGAAAACAGCCATACACTCCAAAAAGAGAACCCTAGACAACATCACAATATTTTAATGCCAAATGCTCAGATGTGCCTGGAGCTAAGACTAACTCCATCAAAGGTAAGCTACTAGACTACCATAGACAGTGGGACGACATATGTCTATTAATCGTAGTCCAAGCGAAGCCGCCCAGCATGATGCGTCTCGTCCGTGATCCAAGCTGTGCACACTACAGTAAACCACGACTAATCCAAGTAAAGCTTTGGTGAGGGGATGATGCAGAGACCGTTACGTTGTCAGCCAATCGCCTCAGAATAGCTCGATGAATTGTTTACATTTTTCCAGATATTCCATGGAGTGAACGCCAGAAACATAGACTAAACTCAGACGACAAGCGCAAAAAAGACGTTGTAGTCGGCCTTGTCACAGTGTCCCCAAGCTTCAAACTTCAAGCGAGCTAGAGGCCACAGCGCAAGACTGGGATGATTGGCGCTTCATACGCGAAGTACTCCCACTCGAAAATGTAATCGCAAATTCGATCACAAGGTTGCCATCATCACCTAACTACAGAGGGAGCAGTCACCGAACGATAAAAGTAACACTGCAAACTAAACTCATGACTAAAAGATGATAAAACTGTGGCTCAAAATGCGCAAGGAGGTAACATCCGAAATACGTGTAAAGTCGATGGACGCCAGGCCGAAAATCGATGAGATAACGCTTAACATGCAGCCCTTGTGCGTGCCCCCGTTAGCATGCCACGCAACCGGGATATAATCAAATCAGACCGTCACCTGAAAGATGTATATTTTGCAGCCCCCTACGGAACAGCAGCATAAGTAAAAAGGGACCGACAGCCGACCCCTGCAGGGTCGGCTGCCGCCAACTGACCAGAAGGTGCATGTACAACTACCCTACTAACCTCAGAGGCCCTCACCTGCTTGTATACCAACGCTAATGTTCTGCTCAGTAAGTAACCCGAATTTCGTATCGTCACCATTCCGCTCCTTGGGCTGTGGTCATATTAACTAAAAAGTGGCTGAATACTGATCTTACTGATGCCGAGGTAGTCCAGCCCGGTATGACTTCAATACGAAACGATCGGCCCATCAGTGGAGGCGGAGTGCTCTAGAATTACCGAGCTGACCTGCATGGCGACATCTTCGACGATCCAGGTTCGTAAGGTGTCGCTTCTCTCTGGTGCCGCCTGCATCCCAGACCTGGTGATGCGTGCTTACTTGCTGTTATATACCACTCTCCAAAGTCCACCCTGCAAATAGAACACCACCCGGCATCCGTTATGGAGCGACTCTTTGCACGGTCATGCAGTCACCTACGTTTGGTTGGCGACGTCAACTTGTACGCAATCGAAATCCCGGCTTTACTCAGCGAACAATACAAAGCGGACTTGCAAGAAGTAATCGCCGATATACTGCTATACAACCACATCACCACGCCAACGAGATGCAGAACTGGCGACAATACAACTCCATTAGACCATGTATTCACCAAGGAGAAACTAATGCTTAATGCAGTAAACATAAGTGCACTGCTTGACCGTAGCAATTACGCAAAACTGCTCTTCCGCTACATCCTGTACGCGGAATATCTACGTGAAAGCAGCGAGATAATTCACGTTGTTCGCCGTTAAGATGAACTCTCTGACCTCGTTCAAGAATCTAATTCGTCTTTCCTAGCCAAGCACGTACCTGATATCGCCTGAAAAGAAGTTGTCATCTTGTTCTCCGGGCTAGTGCCAAATGCGCCTGAAACCAATGCCTTTTGCTCGAAGCAACGGGAGTACCGTATATTACCGTGTATAAGGTGATCAGTATATAAGCCGGCAGTATGACATTGCGACGACAAATTTGTTCAAAATCTAGGCCCGTATATTAGCCGACCACCAAAAAATAAACAAAAAGAGATGAAATTGTTTCTTTCGCGTTTGGATTCACCACAAGCTGCTTTCACTTGAGTGTACTCAAGCGGAAGCTGCTCTACCATTGGTCAGTTCCGGCGACCTAATGTGTTAGGACTGCAGTTAATGGGTCTTAGAGCCGTCAGGAACAAGAGTTTAACAGCATTAGACAGTGTACTGATGAGATGTCAAGTCACATGAAACAGGTAAGACAGCCGACAAGAGGGGGTAAGGTGACAGGGCAAGTCAGACACCGCCTCGCACAGTCGGGGGCCTCGTGCATTTGAATTGCAGTTGAGCAGCGGATGAGAGGGAAGTGCATGCTCAGTAGTGTGGGATATCGTCCTATCGTAAGTTCCAAAAGCATGGTTCTATTTTACTCAGTTGCTCGTTGAACAACGTGCACGCCTTATGGGGACACGGAAACACACTAAATTGCCAACTTTTTAAATGGTAAATGTTGCCCTCTCAAATTCACCTCACCCGGTAGCAGGGGTATGAGGGGCTGCAGGGACGGAAGAATGCCAGGCCAGCAAGCCTGAATCCTCAGCACTGGTGTTATGATGTTGGATGGAAACTCCTACCAAGACCGACATGAGCATCCACACCGATTCTGGAATGCCCGGTCAGCATGTCAGTATCGTCCATCATTACAACGATGGATGAGCAGACCGAACAACCCGCCCCACGTGACTGAGAAATGCATTTGCCGCACTGATTGGTTTTGGCCAGATCGACGGATACCCGCTGTGATGCAGGTTAATAAGCTAGCCACAGCGATCCCTGTCTGTTTGCAGTGTGTCGCTGGAATGAATAACTAGGACAGCCACAAGAAAGTTATGGCGTACCGCGCGTTGTCTAGGTGAAAGAGAAGGCCGCATTTGTCACATGAAGGCTAACATACAAAGGCTACTGAGCTTGCCGTACGAAGTGCAAAATGGCGGTTGTACCGATCGCAGTACTGGGTTACACGTTGAGTTTCGCTCCAACTGTCGAAATTACGTAGCGACATGTGGTAGCCAAAGATAGTTGGGGACTGTGGTGAGATTTTATGCACGTGATCAAACTGGGTGGGGTCAAGCAACGAAATGATCGTAAGTGCATTCACACGAAGGCCGCAAACATTGAGACCGAAGTTAATTCTCTGGTGCGTTGAGGACGCGATATTGCGTACCAGTGGATGTCATCCTACTGCTGGCACATGCATAGTGAGGTGTTAAGGCGGCATTATGGCCGTCTATCCTGCGTTGCTAGACGTAAGCTGATGGCTTCTCAGGTGGTGTTCAGAATGAATTGCATTAGGGAGCAGCAAAGGTCGCTGGGATTCCTCATCAGTTGGTACTGTCGCACCTGTCGTGCTGACGTAGCCAATGCCCCCTACCTTGAGTACCTTGCAAAAGCGCTGATACCCATCGTGTACATCCCGAGAGATTTTAATAGCAGCTCGTAGACCGATGGTGAAGGCTCTTAACATGCTTGGTTTCCATTCTTTTCTGCGTTTAGCCAACAGCGAGATCTTATTTCCGCCGGGGATGCCACACCGGGATGGTGTATTGCACGTGAGATTGCACACTGGTGACGTCTAGACGGAGTACAACAGCAGTGCAGACAAACGTGATCACTAGCACAGAGGAGTACCGTAAATAATATCACTTACAAAATTGAGTGACTTGACAAATACGAGGTTAACGTAATATCTGCACCAGAAGTACCCGACCTTGGTTTTCAAGAAGCGCGTAACACAGCCTACGAAGCTTCAGCAACTTTGTCTACCGACGTCAAGTTTACAGTAAACATCAATAGCGACACCTCCACCCTACCGGACAATTGAACCATCGCGCCTAAACTGTGCCTAGTTATATCGATGTATTCCAGCATCCCTGATGGCCTGAGAAAACCGCGTTTCTGTAGAAGCGAGTACAATGGGCTGAGACCCATCTATACGTACATTTGGCTCGTACCGTATATATTTCTCACGTAAACATCTTGTTCTATTTAGGCAATTCGCTTAGCATTCATTCCACCCCGAAGAAGTATTAGCACCAATACCCATCGCAGCAAGTTAGCCGTGAAATCAACCGTTATGCAGTATACGTATATTTATATGTAGTCTGCTAAACGAACATAAAACCAACAAAGTAGATGTTCAAAGCAGCTGCTTCAACATGCTACGTAGGAAATTGACCTCGGGGTACTAGTGCAGGACAAGCTCGGCTGCTCGAAACAGGCTGTAAAGGCATCGAGAAGAGCCTGCCAACACCTTGGCCTCCTACGAAGTGCGTTCGGGAAATTCGGGCCATCAAGCTTTCCCCAAATGCTAAACGCCTACGTAAGGCCCTATGTGGAGTACGCGATCCAGGGCTGGTGACCTTGGTACAAATACGATGCTGCTGCGCTCGAAGCTCCACAACGTAGGGCGACGAAAATCGTTAGATGACTGTTTCACCTCTCCTACCAAAGCAGATTGCAAGCCCTAGGCTTGTACAGCGGCGAATACCGGCGCCTGCGAGACCTTATTACGGTCTACCAACTACTGACGAAACCCAATCATGCCTGCCGCGATCTGTCGCAAGTCAGCCACAATAGCAACCTGAGAGACCAGCAGGTCAAACTGACTACACATCACAGGCAATTTTATTGCTGACAAAAGGTTTTCCCTTCGGGTATACAGAACATGGGATACTCGTTCTGCTTACGTTATTTGTGCCCCCAGTTTGACGCTTTCTAAAAAACGCTTGGACTATACTCTATCCCATTTACCTTACGTGACATAATCCGTTTCCATCGAAAAATGAATTATGGCAAACGGCGTGCTCACTAGCCTTCTCCGGTAGGTAGCGATGAGTAGGCCAGTATAGATATTCATATGAACAAGTCGGTGAGTCACCTCAAAGCAGCATTTTCATTTTCCTGTCACCTTAAACAAGCATGTTATAATCCCCACGCCGGTTATCCTACGGGAGATGACATGCAATGCCTTTGCACATTCTAAAGCATTATTCATTGTTCAACGTGCGGTTCATGTTATGCATTTGCACTTTTGCTCATATTCCAACTTGAGGGTCTATTGCCGTTTTAGCAAGTATGCCCACTGACTGATGGAATCGCCGAGTGCTATGGCATTTGATTAAGTGAACATAAAGCAAAAACTTGTGTGGTGAATACAGTATTGCCCTCAATAGGAGCTGACATACTTTTACCATGCGAATGCAGGCTACATCTTCAAAGCAATAACCCGGAGCCAGTATGCAATAAAGATATGATGTGAAGGCAAGTTGGTTTGTTACAACAAATATGTGACAGAATAGGTAGCGTCGCCATATACATGCGCAACGAACACCCATGCTGTGCTCTAGCTTGAGGGCCCGTTTTTGCTTAATCTAAACCGAAAGATGTAGGGATCATTGGGAATCGTAAATGGCCGTGAAGCGATAGCTGTTATCAAGGACACACATACTTGGTCACGTTTGTATTTTCAGTTTGCGAGTTACCAATTCATTGTATCTGGATCCCAGAAAGTAACCAGATGGTCCCAGTAGAGCACATGTCTCTGACTACTAGTTGGGTTCCATGGTAAAAGTATGCATGGTACAGGATTAATTTTGAAATAAGGTCGAAATTTCAAGGCTTGTTATCTCGTAGGTACCGATTTAATTTCACATGATGATCGTGTCTGTAAAATCTAGTCATACAGACCTTGAAAAGTGTTTAGTTTGAATAGATTTTGCGTTAGTTTTGTCTGAAGATCCATACTATTATGCTCATCAGGGTTCTCCAACCTAAAGTATGTAGTTTTGTGAAAACGACAAAAGGAGATGAGATAATTATGCATTGTTGACGGTGAGGTCAACGAAAGAAGTTATCCAACGAAATAGTGTCTCACTGCAAGGTTGGGAGCAATCACAAAGTATTGGAAGGGCGAAAAACAAAGCGAGAAAAGTGCTCGCTACTGGTGCATGAGGTCATCAGTTTTACAAGGGTGAGGGCCAAGTAACGTGCTTAGGAGAAGCTGCAAACCGTAAATTTTACTATGCGTGGGAAGAAATTGATCTCATTAGTCCGCACATCTATCTCTGGTGGACATTTACATGGAAGTTATTCACGTTGGTCACATGGATATTTTACTGCGGCCCAAGATGAAAAACGATACAGAATACGTAACCAACGAAGGGTTTTCTTCGTCGTGTGTGGATATAATTCAATATGTGTGTTTCACGGTCAGTCCAGCCAGATAATAGCAAAATTTGGTGCACTGACGCAGAGAAGAAAATATGATAACATATGCTAGTTTTCCTCTTCTCACGGCTTTATTCGGATTTCTAAAGGGAGCTAACTGTTTCCAAGTTATCTCTAAGGCTAAACTCTACAGTTAGCTCACGAAGTGGTTGAACAACAATTTTATTAATTTTGGATGTTTGTGAGTAGGGTAAAGTTTGTAGAAAGTAGAAGTCACGATTAAAATTCACACACAATAATGTGCCTCGACGGGGAATCGAACCCCGATCCACGAATTTCCGGTCCGCTACTCTACCACTGAGCTACCAAGGGCTGACGATTAGGTGCGCAAATTTTAACACATGACTTCTGCTTGATGCGCGACGTATTGCCAATGAGCTCACAGTACCTGTCCTGGTGTTGCAGATTGGCTCACCCACCCGTCACTTCCCAATGGGCTGAAGAATCTGTCCTTCGAATGTCCAATGGGCGATAGTAGATTAATTTTGGATGTTTGTGAGTAGGGTAAAGTTTGTAGAAAGTAGAAGTCACGATTAAAATTCACACACAATAATGTGCCTCGACGGGAAATCGAACCCCGATCGACGAAATTCCGGTCCGCTACTCTACCACTGAGCTACCGAGGGCTGACGATTAGGTGCGCAAATTTTAACACATGACTTCGTCGACCGGGGTTCGGTTCCCCGTCGAGGCACATTATTGTGCGCGAATTTTAATCGTGACTTCTACTTTCTACAAACAATTTTATTGACTACAATTAAGGCATATTAATGTATGACCACTTTATGACAAATTAGCGCACTGATGTTGCCGGCTGCGCTATGAACCGCTTATCCTTAACAACTGTTTGTTATTTGCTCATCCAGGATGAAGATGCTATTGCGAATATAGCCAGGCTAGATCATAACAGGTGCTACATTTTCAGCGGACGTCACTCCGGAATGCTGTGCTAGTTTCCAACCTATAATGGTCTTATGTGGACGCACAACCATGTACGATAAATGGGGACCTACACTCCACTTTCTTCCAAGGGCACCAATTAGTACACTTTATGAATATCATATTCAGATCATTCTATTGAAAGTATAATTAATGTAGCCTATGACAGCACACTTAATTTAAAAGAGGAGGAATTTTACCATCATTTTCTGATGATTGTCTAGCGATATCGTTCGTAGTGGTTTGAATCTCTGCGTCATTCTTGAGCCGACCAATCTGTTTCATCCAGTGGTGCAGTTGAGCCTCTGAGCAGTTTTCTTTCACATATCTTTCCAAGAACTGCGGATTTTGCTTCAAAAAGTAGAGCACATTATCCTCCTCGTTTTCACTCATTGTTTCCATGGTCTCTAAAATAGGATTAACTAAGATTTTACAATCTACCATTGATTAAAATTAAGCGTCCTTACCGAGAAGTCACCAACAGCATATATGTTCTTAGAGAGGTTAGGTGAGTCTAAAGATGCTTAAGAAAATCGGTGATTCTCGAACTAGGGATGTAAATCGGGTAGTGTTCCATGCAACCAGGTTAAGTCGTACATCCATTATACACATGTAGAAACACTGAACGACCTTATTGGAACTCAACGGTGACGCACACACTAAGGATCCGTCAAATTATTTAATCGATGCTGTATTCTCAAGCATCTAAATTTTTATAGCAGAACGATGAAAAGTTCTGGAGTAATATGAGGCAAAATGGGCAAGCACTACATCGAATCAGACTGTCATCTTACAAAGCCCAAATTTTGCCTCGGGGCAACAGCTTGTCATGTTTTGCTGCCGACTACTCTAGGATGGTATCAGTTTTTACTTCAAGAGGAATAACGGACACAGTTGAATCGTTTGAAACAATTGGTTTTCATCGTCAGTTTAAGCATATTACTGAGGAGAAGAGCAATGTTGGGCCCAGTTATTTTGCAGGACCTCATAATAGTATTTCAATTACAAGATTACTTTTCGCACCAGATGAAGGGTGTATCTAAACACCTTAGAGATGTTAGCCGAGGACATTTCATTATAGTTCAATAGTGTATGACGATTTAAAAGAAAACAACTTAACAGAACCTACAGGATTAAAAATGCAAAACTATCCAAATTTTAGGGCGTAAAGTTTGAGCTACCACTAATCTACTTATAGCACTTATCACTTAGATGAATGTCCAATAGTCGTTCGTTCGAAATGTTTAGTATATTAACCACATTTGCTGAAAATGTGTTCTGTGAACAGAATATAATAGCGTAGAAGAACTTGCTACAGCTCAAGCGAGAGCGTTGGGCTAATAGTTTCAGATCTAGGCCATGGGCATGGGTCGTGATGAACCGCGGCCAGCAATGATTCATATGGATCATTAAATGCTGCAATTTCCTGCTCATGAGAATGAGATCCAAGTGAAGTTATTGGTATTCTGAGAACACATCTACTGAACAAAGGCGCAATTCATTATTATGACCAGACACTCCCCGTGTTGTCGTGGTTGCGCCATGAGACGAATGTTTCGATTGAAGCATGAACAGCAGGCTTAAACCACATAATCAAGGTTGGGACGGATATACGCGTTGATCAGTAAGGGTGTTAGCAGTGGTTCAAAGTAGCAAGAGCTGGCGGCAGAAGCTGTAAGCTCAAATTTGCCACGTTTGCTGCTCTAGTATATCAGAACGAATTTCCTGGATTTTCTTGAACAACGATACTTAGGTCCCTTTCAATGGTTACATGCTGTAGAACGTTCCGCCCCAACTGGCATGCGTAGAGAATTTGTTACGCAGGGTTAATCGGTGGCATTTTGCAAGGTTCAAGAGGAGTTGGTTCGGTTCTACCCATTTATAATTCCGGTCTCGATCGTTTTGAAGATGAACACGGTCAGATGTCGAGTGAATAGCTAGCCGGACTTCGACATCAGTCGGAAATATTTGTACTGGGGTCGACAATTGCTTTTATAGGTGTGACGATGGCGGAATTCCGCCCCTTGTTACAGCCCCGTGGAGTAGTGGTTATATAAACTAAAATACCATAACAAAACTTTATAATGAAAACCAAGAGGTGCCATAGGGACGCCTACTTATGATTACATAACATTTCGAACACTACATTATGTTGCAGATTTTGTGTTATAGGGTGTAGTGCAGTAAGAGAAGAGCAAACTAATCAGCGAGACATTAGCCTCTTAGCACACCATAACCTGGGGTGAAAAGAAACTTTAAGGAATCAGTACTGTGTCACCAAATGTAAAGTCGAAAAACATACGACGTGTGAGCGGACTCAGTACGCAGTTCAGGTGATCTAAGAGACCAAGCAGGATATTGTCACTTATGCGGCATTGACAACTCGTACGTTACAAGGTAACGGATGAAATATCGACCGTTATCTGTTGATATTCATCGTTTTCGGCTGTCCGAATAAAGGCGAGTCATCAGGTCGTGGATGCACCTAATACAGACGCAAGTGGAGCTGAATTTGGGAATCGAGTGAGAATCGAGCGGTCAGCTAATACTAGCCCCCGTCAAAGGAATCGAACTATTCCGTCAATATGATTAACCTGTGGGGTGGAACCCACTCACACTGGCTGAAAAGTAGACGCAGAATAGTGAGCAATCTTGACCTAAATTAGCGTGTTTCGGTTATCAATAAATAGAGATAATCTATCCTGTAGATATACTCTCTGCCTACCGAGTTCTGGCCTTTTGTATTCCTTCGGTTAGCTGGGCGCGTGACTGAGAAGTCGGACAAGTCGCAGTCTCATAGGGCAGCTAGCAGCAGTACGACAGTTGTCAGTGGCGGAGAGCAGAGGGAAAAAAGCGTTATAACAGTGGCGACGCGAGTTCAACCGAACACAGAAATGGCAATCAGCTTTGAACAATTGCAGATGCTTTTGCAGCAACAACAGGAGCAGTTTGAAGCATCCCAGGCCAAGTTGTTCGAGAAGCTAACTCAGAAGCTGACAGTGCAGTCAAGCCCAGGGTTAGAGACAAGTGAAAGTGCTCCCTTACCAGAAACCCTGACAGCAGATCAGTGAGTTTCATTATGACGCTGATGCTGGCATAACATTTGTTTCTTGGTTCCACAAGTATGAAGATATGTTCCGGGTTGATTTCGCCAACCTTCCAGCGGAAAAGAAGATTCGACTAATGCTGCGGAAGCTGAGTGCTGCCGAACACGAGAAGTTCACCAATTTTATCTTACCTAAAATGTGTACTGATTGGTCGTTCAATGAAGTGGTCGCAGTCCTGTCGCAAATATTCTGAGAGCAGACATATTTGCTCAACATCTGATGTGTCTGACAATAACAAAAAGAGGAGAAGAATACAGATTCGACTATTCCAGCCGTGTGAATCGAGAGTGCGAACAGTCACAACTACACAACATGACAAGTGATCAGTTTAAATGTCTTATATACGTTTGTGGCCTACAAGCACTCAAAGACGCCGATATTCGAACAAGAATACTGAACAAAAGTGAGCAGAATCCGGATGTCACATTGCAGCAAGTGATCGGTGAGTGTCAAAGCATGATGAATTCGAAGCACGGTACCGCAATGATTCAGCAGTTTTCCAATCAGGACGATGAAGATTTTGTCTGTGCAGTCAGCCTTACTCCCCAGATAGAGGCTTCCCACGTGAGTTCACCACATTCTATACCTCTCTCTGCATGTTGGTGTTGTAGAGAGTGGTGTTTCGTCCGCGAGTGCCTATACAAAACTCACACTTGTAACCGTTGCGGTAGAAGAGGGCCTGGCGATTCGTCCAATTTTGGCGGAGGAGTTGCGTAACAATGCCAGATCGTTCCGGCGTCCCAATTTGACCAGATCTATCACCGTAACTTTCAAGGTTGACGGGGCCAGCAAGCGTAAATACACAATTGTGAAAATCAACGGCTTCCAAGTCAGGTTACAAATCGACACGGCTTCAGATATCACCCTGATATATCGCGACACTTGGTGTATGATGGGGCGACCGACACTCATAAAAACGAGCCACACGGCACCGAATGCTTCAGGAGGTACTTGAAAATTGCTTGAACTGAATTGTCAGGTAAACTTCCGCGATAAACAAATACAGACGACATGTTTCGTGACAGCCCAGCCGGGGTTAGATTTGTTGGGTCTCGACTGGGTGGATAAAGTGAAACTGCTTGATAAATCAGTGAACAGTATATGTCAGCCACCGCAATCCAATCTACTGTCGAAACCTTCGACTTCAAGCCCGATGCTTCAAAGTCAGATTACCAAGATAAAACGACGCCACGATGCATTGTTCCAACCTGGTCTCGGATGCTGCAACATAGCTACTGCAGCATCGAACCTTAAACCAGACGCCAAGCAAGTAGTTAGACCAAGACGCTCGGTGCCCTATGCTACTCAGTCCTTAGTGGAAGTCGAGTTAAACCGACTACAATCTGAAGGGACAAGCGAACGAGTTCACTATTCAGAATGGGCAACACCTAGGGTGGTGATAAAGAAAGAAAAGGGTAAAGTCCGTATGTGTGCCGATTTCTCGACAGGTTTGAATTCTGTGTTAGAAGATCATCTGTATCCCCTGCCGATACCAGAAGAATTGTTCAGCAAACTCGATGGGGGAAAATATTTACCGAAACTCGACCAAGCTGATGCGTAACTGCAAATCCCAGTTGCCACTCAGTGCAGAACATTACTGACAGTAAATACCCACCTCGGACTTTTTCAGTACAATCGGCTGCCGTTCCGAGTGAAAACCGCACCGGCCATTTTTCAACAACTAATGGATAACCTGCTAAGCGATATCCCAAATACCACAGTAAACCTGGAAGATGCGTTGATTATGGGCTCAGATACACAAAACTTGGTACAGACAATGGAGAGAGTGCTTTCGCGTTTCCAAGAAGCTGGATTCCGATAACGGGCTGAAAAATGTGAGTTCCTATTAGAAAGTGACAAATTTCTTGGATTTATCATCGACAAACATGGCCGGCGCCCGGATCCCGCCAAGATTGAAGCCATCAAAAAGAGAAAGCTTCCGGAAGACATTGCAGAGCTCTGCTCGTTCCTTGGGCTCGTTAGCCATTATAGTGCTTTCCTACCAAGCCTTGACCAAACCAGAAGTCCGCTGAACCAGCTACTAACAAAAGACAAGGTTGGAAATGGACGAAGGAGTGACAGTAGTCTTTTGGTGCAGTCAAGGCAGCTCTCACTTCTGATCTAGTCTTGGCTCACTTCAATCCGAATTTCAAGGTTGCCGTTGCTACGGATGCTTCCAATTATGATGTTGGTTCAGTTATCTCTCACCTTTTTCTGCATGGAGGAGAGAAGGCCATCGCGCACGCAGCACGGTCACTAACGGCAGCTGAAAAGAACTATAGCCAGATAAAGAATGAAGCGCTCCCGATCGTTTGCGGAATGAAACGGTTCCATAAGATGCTGTATGACAGACATTTCAAACTCCTGACTGACCATAAGCCACTTCTGTTGACATTCGTGTCAAAGAATGGAATACCAGTTTTTACGGCAAACCGATTGCAACGATGGGCGACCATACTACTGGCCTACGACTTCAGTATACAGTATAAACCGACGCAACTAATCGGTCAAGCGGATGCCCTGTCTCGTCTCATCAGTTCAGACCCAAAGGAGAATGATGATTGTGTGATTGCAGCTATCAGTTTCGAAGCAGAAGTCCAACGAATCCTGGCTGACAATGTGAGAAGACTACCAGTAACAGTCGACACCATTCGTATGGAGACACCAGGGGACAGAATCTTGGAGAAAGCGGTGCAGTGCGTACGAACATGTCGGCCAAATTGAGGTATACCTATGGAGTTGCGGCCGTTATACAATCGACGTGGATCCCTGTCAGTCGTGGACAATTGTCTGATGGTTGGAGATCTAGTGGCGGTGCCAAAGAAATTACAGAGGCAGATATTGCAACAGTTCCACACGGGACACCCGGGTACCAGCCGCATGAAAGCCTTGGCAGGCAGTTTTGTTTACTGGCCAGAAATGAATTCGGAAATTGAAAAATGTTGCCAACAATGTGAATTTTGTCAACTTGCGGCATAGGACCTTCCCAAGTCTCAGTGACAGCCTTGGCCTAAAGCAGAGAAACCGTGGTAACGAATGCACTTAGACTATGCAGAATCAATCAATGGCCAATATTATTTCGTTTTGGTTGACTCATTCACCAAGTGGCCTGATATGATTCCGGTGAGCAGTCCGACTGCACAGCACACTGTCAGGGAGTTGGAGAAGCTGTTCCGATACTTCGGCCTGCCAGAGTGACAGACAATGGAACACAATTCTTTCCGCGAGTGGTGCAAGGAAAAGGGAATTTAGTAGATGTTTTCACCACCATAGCATCTGCAATCAAACGGACAGGCGGAAAGGTTCGTGGATACGTTGAAAGGTGCACTCTGGGCAAAAAAGTGCTTCACAGGATGCAACTCGATCTTTCATACGCATGTATCGGAACGATCCGAACCCAAACGCCCCTGATGGGAAATCCCGCACAGTAGTACCATTTGGAAGGAAGATCCCGACGTTATCCGATAATCTTTTACTAAGGAGAATAGAAAAGCTTCGCAGTAGTCACCTGGAGGCAGATCGCAAAGTCACGCTCTGTAACTGCAATGCTGGTGACATGGTTTACGCCCGGGATTTGCGAAGGCCGACGGGGTGGTCGAGCGGAACTGTTGTCGGTAGGAAAGGCGGAGTTATCTATGAGGTGATGGTTGAACGTGAAAGGTCCCCACGAATCACCAGCTTTGCATTGGGACATTCTACTAGACACCTTCGGGCTGGAAGTTGAGGGTCAGCAATCCGGTGAAACAAAACAAATGCCGCAAACATCAGATGCACAATGCAGGCCGGCTCAGAAACGGAGAAGACGACGGTGGCTGCAAATCGATCCTTGGGCGAAAAGCTACAAACGCAATCAGGTTCGAAAGGTCTGCAAGCTGATAAAACTCGAAAAAGAAGGTAATAGAGGCGCATGCGGAGCTGAATTTGGGAATCGAGTGAGAATCGAGCGGTCAGCTAATACTAGCCCCCGTCAAAGGAATCGAACTATTCCGTCAATATGATTAACCCGTGGAGTGGAACCCACTCACACTGGCTGAAAAGCAGACGCAGAATGGTGAGCAATCTTGACCTTCTAAATTAGCATGTTTCGGTTACCAATAAATAGAGATAATCTATCCTGTAGATATACTCTCTGCCTACCGAGTTCTGGCCTTTTGTATTCCTTCGGTTGGCTGGGCGCGTGACTGAGAAGTCAGACAAGTTACAATCTCAAATGGCAGCTAGCAGCAGTACGACAGTTGTCAGTGGCGGAGAGCAGAGGGAAAAAAGCGTTATAACAGCACCACTATACCTATAATGGAATTTTAAGGGCGCACAACTAACTCAGGGTTTTTGCAAGCTTACCAGGACACCTATGGCCCTTCGCCATAGACCTAGAATATCCTAAGGTTCATTAGGAGGAACTGCCAGTTTGGCAAGGTGAAATGAAGCTTTTGAAGAATAACTTGTATGATCCTGCTCCACCTCGCCTTCTCGGGTTGGGACCATGGGTCTACGTTTGTGCTTAACTCGCTAATATTCGAGACATTTGTAGTATAATCAGCACATTCCAGGACTCTCGTCATCATTAATAATGTTTGCATAAATAATGTACAAGTCTCTGCAATACAATGAGGCTAAAAACAAAGGAAGAAGCAGTTCTATAAGAGCTAGAATTCGGAAGTCATGCTCGGTTGGAACAGGTAAACAATCTTTAACCGAGGAAGCGCATGAGTACAAGGTGGTTACCTGGAACACGACGGATTGGAACTTCGTATCCATGCAAAACTCCAGCTTGTAGACCTGTCGAGCATAATCCTACTATGAGTTGCTACAGGTTTTACTGGCCACGCTGCCAGAATACCCTAACAAAATATCTGTTGCGGTACACGATACACTGGCACGTTTATGCCAGCAGACAATGAAATCCACACACGACATACTCACCATACTCACCTCGTTACAGATATCAACTTGACTAGATTGTCGATTTAAAGGCGTAGAAGTGCCATGCATTAGAGCTAGTTTCACTAAAGGTACGGAACTGGGACACACTGAGACAGTATATCGCTCGCGAATCGGAAGTTGTTAATATCACATCATTCGAATCAAACCGTCGGTCACAGAGACTCTAATAGCCTCAAAATTGCAGTTTTTCCAAGTTACCGGCGTATTACAAGCAACGTTTCCATTGATGTATCTGGTTATACAGTTCTCTGCCGGGTATAATAGCGTGTGGATTTTCCATC